GCAGCCGAACCACGCTCGTTTCTCGGCCCCCTGCCCCTCCTTGAGCCCAGACCCTATACCTCCCTCCCATCCGGCGAGCCCCTCCAGGTTGTCTCCTGTCCCAGCGCCCGCCCCAGTGCCTGGCCCCCCCCGGGATCCCCAGCACACAGCGCATCCACGACCACCAACCACCAGCCCCTCCTGCCCTCGCCGGCCGCTCTCCGGGCGAGTGTGAGACGGTGAGACGGTGAGACGGTGAGCCAGCGCAAAACAACTGGCAGCAACAAGTCACACGCTGGAGCCGCAGCCGAGGCCCAGAACGCAAGTCGACGCAGCGAAACGCAGCGAAACGCAGCGAAATACGCAGCAAGCAAGCAGCGACAAGCGCAGCAGTTGCGCAGCAGCGCCCGCAGGAGCGCGCCTGCCTCGACGATCAGTTGAAAAGGGTCAGCAACAGCCAGCTAGTGGCAAAAGCCACACACCCAACCTAGGCCCGTCACCTGCTCGTCCTGCCCCACCACGCCCGCCCTCCCGCCAGACAGAATCGGGCCATTGACGTTGACCGATTAGCTCGCCAAACCCCATCGTCAGCGCCCTCGCTTTGCCGCCACAGCCCGCCCAAGGCCATGAGCCGGCGGCATTGCCTCTCCTCGTAACTTCTGTATGTCCACAACTCCAAACTGCCACGGCTCGGCGAGCCAGTATGCAGCAATACCACCGCTTGCATCACCCTTCCTCTCCCCCGAGTCCCTCCTTCTCCCTCTAATAACGCCGTCTTCCTCGACAGGCCCAGCATGGACGCCCCGACCATTGGCGGCGTGCCAGAGAGAAGCACCGCCGAAACCGTTTACCTCCGCGCCCAGCTCATCTACCCGATCGTGCTGCTGGTGGCCTTCACCGTGTCGTCCGCCGTTCACACAATCCTCATCTCCAAGACCGACGAGGAACGGGTCACCTCTTCCGTCAGGGGTCCCGGCGGAAAACCTTTGCCCGTCACCAAGAGAAAGCGGGAAGAAGAGTTACAAGAGGGCGACCACTGCACCGGCAGTAGCGTCGCTCTGAGAGTCTTCCAATATGCTACGGCCGCTCTCATCCTGTCCTTTTTTGCCAATGGCGCCGCAATTGCTCTCCACGCCCTGCAGGCCCGCGGAAAGCCAGGATTCGTCGGCGCCTGGTGGTGCAGCGAGGAACGAACCGTGAGTTCTCGTCTGCTCGGCTTCTCCGCCGTACCACAAAGTAGAAAAATAGAGAATGTGCTGACAGTCACCCTAAGGTTTACATTGTCGGCTCGGCATTTCTCTACGTCTATGTGCTGATCACGCTCTTCGATTGGAGCCCAAGCCCGAACGCTGTGCACTTAATCATCTGGACCCTTGGCCTTATCGGTGAAACCGTCATCCTGCTGTCGTCGGTGTTCCTCATCTCCGGGACTCACTATGTCGTTCACGGAAAGAAGCGCGCGGCCGCGGAGCCCCTCGACGGCCCCGGCATGTGGGACCTTGTCGACCTCAGCATCGGGACCGTTCGGCTCGCATTGGTGGCTCTCATGGTCTCTCTCTACGTCATCCTTTCCACCAAGAGGTATCTTAAGGAGAGACGGCTGTTGGACGAGGAGGCCCGCCGTTCGAGTGCGGACGAGTCGAGTCCCCTGTTGAACGGTGACGGCAACCCAGCCAATTACCGCACAGCCGACGGCGTCGAGTTCGGCAACGCAAATGGTGCAGCCGAGGGTGATGCCGGATACCAAAAGCAAGACCAAGATGCAGCCTTCTATAGGCCGCAGAAGCTCCCTCACCCGACTTGGTTTGAATATTGCCGCGGATACTCGGTCTTCTTCCCATACCTGTGGCCCTCCAACTCGGCCAAGCTTCAGGGTCTGGTTTTGCTGTGCTTTATTCTCACCGTTTCTCAAATTGCGGTCAATACACTAGTTCCTGCCCAGGTTGGAAGAGTGATTGACCTGTTTGCTGAAAATGAAAGCACCCACACCACGCCGTGGCTCCAGCTTGGACTCTTGATCGTGTACAAGCTGCTTCAGGGCTCGTCTGGCTTTCTCGGGTCCGCCCGCGCCCTCCTTTGGATCCCCGTCTCGCAACATACGTACCGTGCATTGACAACGTCGGCTTTTGAGCATGTCCACTCATTGTCTCTGGACTTCCACCTCGGCAAGCGCACAGGAGAGGTTTTGTCAGCCCTGAACAAGGGCGCTTCCATCAATCAATTCCTAGAACAGGTTACGTTTCAAGTTCTACCGACTCTCGTCGATCTTATCGTCGCCGTCATCTATCTTTACATCAAGTTCGGTGCTATCTACGCCCTCTTCGTCTCGGTCATCACATTCTACTACCTTTTCCTAACTATCCGCATGGCAACTACAAGAGCCGACGAGCGTCGCGACATGGTCAATGCAGACCGTGAGGAGGAAGCTGTCAAGAATGATTCAATCACGTCCTACGAGACAGTCAAATACTTCAACGCCGAGAAGTACGAGTTCAAGCGCTATCGTGATGCTGTGCAGACTTACCAAACCGCCGAGGCCAAGGTCACGTGGGGTGTTACCTACATGAACCTATGCCAGTCGATGGTGTTTATCGCCGGCATGCTTGTCGCCATCATGACGTGCGCTTTTCAGGTTTCACAGGGCACCCGGACGGTAGGCGACTTTGTCCTGCTCGTTACATATCTTGGCCAGCTACAGGGACCGCTCATCTACTTTGGCACCTTTTACCGCTTGGTCCAGCAGGCTATGATTTCTGGCGAGAGGCTGCTCGAGTTGTTCAAGATTCAACCCACCGTCACTGATGGACCTCATGTCAAGCTTCTCCCCCGGTGCACCGGTCACATCAAGTGGAACAACGTCGGCTTTTCCTATGACAACCGTAGAACAGCACTGCACGACCTGTCCTTCGAGTGCGCGCCGGGCAGCACAACCGCCTTCGTCGGAGAGTCTGGTGGTGGCAAGTCAACTGTCTTCCGTCTGATGTTCCGTTACTACAACTGCCAGAAGGGGAGCATCGAGGTCGATGGCCAGGATGTCAAGGATATGACGATCGACTCGGTACGCAAATTCATTGGGGTTGTGCCTCAAGATACAATTCTCTTCAACGAGACCTTGATGTATAATCTGAAGTACGCAAACCCCCAGGCGACCGACGAAGACGTGTTCGAAGCCTGTCGTGCTGCCGCCATCCATGACCGTATTATGGCGTTTCCAGACGGATACCTCACCAAGGTTGGCGAGCGTGGGCTACGACTAAGCGGTGGCGAGAAGCAGCGGGTAGCCATTGCCCGCACTATTCTCAAGAACCCTAAAATCATCATGCTTGACGAGGCAACATCGGCCCTTGATGGTGAGACCGAGCAGCAGATTCAATCCAAGTTGATTGGCGGAAAGTTTGGACGGGATCGCACACTGCTGATTATTGCGTAAGTATTTTTTAGGTTCTTTAGGTCTGGTGTTGTAGCTAACCTCATGACATAGTCACCGGCTGTCGACCATCACCCATGCAGACCAAATCATCGTCCTCCATGCCGGTACCATGGTCGAGAAGGGCACACACGAGGACCTACTTGCGCTCAATGGCCGTTATGCGGCCATGTGGGAGAAGCACTGCCGCGCAGAACGTGCGGCGGAGCAGGCTCGCGATTATACGCGAAAGGCCAAGAAGCTTTTGTGCCAGGCCAACCTTTCCCGGAATGACGAGATGTCGGATGGGTACAGCTCCATGGGCTCGTCCTCTATCCTGCCTACTGGTCTCAACAGCCCCGTGGCCAACGATTCAGTTCTCGACAATGCATCGCTCACTTCTCAGCGCGACAATGTGTCCAACGCGTCCATATCGTCTCGCGAGAGCAACAACGGTTCAGAAGGGACTCTTCACAACGATGGGTGCGATGACTCACATCCCGACGAGTTAGCCGACGACGAATATAGTCCAGAGCACGAAGTGGATGACCCGGTCCAGTCTCATGGCTCTTTTGCACCCGGCCTGCCACGGCCTGCCTGAACACTGACAGTCTACGGTTCAGCTACTCAAAAAGGCACTGGTGATGGACGTACTTTTTACTCCCATGGTCACCTCAGGCGGCTTCGCTGCACACTGCACAGTTCCCTATGATCCATGTCGGTCTCCAAAGCTCTGCCTCACACAACACTTAATCGACTTTGGTTTCCTACATGACGAATCTCACGATACGAGCGCAGCAATGGTTCTTTACCTGTTTATATACCGGCGTTTTTGATATTTATTATTTTGCATTGGCTTCGACATGGCTTACGAGAGACGAGATCCATGAGATTCCCAAGCATGGGTGGCGTTGGTGGATATTGATGCAAACAAACGGTTGGGACATCAGATGAGGAGCACGAATATTTTCAGCCCATTGTTTGTGACGATGGCGGTTTTATAAGAGGGGAGAAGCATTTTTCTTGGTGGGAGAGGGGACGCGGTGTTTTTGGGATTCGCTGCTGACCCTCCGACTTGTGGACAAACTCGAAAGGGTGGTTGAACATGTCGCTGATAGCCCCGCGGCTCTGTAGTTACTGGCGTTGCTCAGAAGTGGAACTGTTCAAGATATGTTTGGTCGACAACTTTGGCCATCAGTAATTGTTCGAAGTCACCTTTGATTGCCAACGCTGGAACGTTCAGAACTGTGTGGTTGCTGTATGCTGGTAGGGACTGTGAGGAAAATACGTTGGGGACTCGGGAGTGTCGTAGGGGCGACACTGATAATCCTAGGAGGAGAGGATGACACTTGCTCACGCAACATAATGTGGAGGGGGGAAGGCGGACAGTATATTCATGATTGTATGAATTACCCCTGACTGCCAGCCCCGTGCTATTACCTGGGTGGCTTCTGTGCAGAATAAAAGAACTGTTGCAATACAACTCTTTGTTGCTACCCGAGTGTGACTGAGTGTGACTGAGTGTGCCCTGGAGATGGCGTAAGCTCTCGATGGGAAGAGCAGATGGGAAGTCGTGATGGGTGTTTCGGGACTCCATAACATCAAACAATCCAAAGGGGGTGTGGCTCAGTTGGTAGAGCGTTCGCTTAGCAGCTTATAAACTGAGTTCGATTCTTAGCTCTTCCACTCATTGTTGTGGATGCAGGTCTGACCTGTTGAATTCATTTGTTGCTCTGTTTTTGTTGCGCGCTGTGTGGTGGTGCGGTGGTGCGGTGGTGCGGTGGTGTGGTGGTTTGGTGGTGGGGTTTGGGTGGAGGCCCCGTTGGCGGACTTGGGATCCACTGATTCTTTGGTTGAGAAGGTAGAGTCTAGTGACCGAAACCACCCATGAATGGAAAGTTAGGTATGGAAAAGATGTTTGAGTATTAATGTTGGGGCTTGCTTGGGTAGGAGATTTCTGAATGGGGGTATAAACAAGCAAGTAGGGGGGGGGGGGATGGGGGGGAGAGACGCCGGGGGGTAACTTATCTCTCTGAGCCGAGCAACCCATATCAATTCCATATCCGAGGAGTCCTAGTTTTCTTTTCGCCATCTGCTTGCCCAAGCCTGTCAATACCATCTCACATCCAGCTCTCAACTCCTCGAATCCTCTTTACTGTGTTGATCCGTCTCCTATGGTGCCGATCCCGCATCGACTTGTCGCTTGGCAGCCAGCCGCCTTGAACCTCGGCATCCTGTTGATATACGAGCTCCAAACCTCAGTCTCTTCACAATAGGTCGCGTCGCCAGTAAAGCCCAGATCAGACAGAGACTGATGCGCTGGTTGGTTCCTGGCCCCTTCTCATCGTCTCTCGGGAATTGGTTGTGGCGTGAGTGGCAAATGATGATTGTAGGCATACAGTAATAGAAACACGGTTCGTCAGCTAAGCCATGAGCAATTCGTTGTTTCCAACTGATCATTGATTCTCGTCCGTAATACTCCAGCGTATCACCCCCTCCGAGATTCAGCACGGCCTGCCCTCAAGTTATTAAGATATCCCATTCATGTGTTTACCGTGCTGCGTACATTGTCATGTCTCAGCTAAACCCCCCCCCCCTCCCCTCCCCTTCGATCAGACAAGCGAGTGCAGTCATGCCAGCGCTTTCCGTTCCGAGTAGCACTATAAAAACGCCGTGCCAATGCAATGCATGCAAATATAGAGTTTATGTAAACGACAGATTGAGAAGGGGAGAAGAAGAGTTGCTCTCGATACCGTTGCCTCCATCCCATCCTCGCAGACCAAATAAGCCTTCCCAAATAGTTGGATAAACCCCCACATTACGCGGCAGACCGTAGTATCATACAGAAGAGTCTCCATTGCGCTCCTGGGCGGACGGTGAATTGGAGGGAAGGTGATATATTAATCATGTATGCCCAATGATAGATGGGTCTTGCCTCCAAATATTTAGCGACTCCTCTTCTGAGCTGCCGAGCCGTTCAGAGCGGCTGCGCCCGTCGCTGAAGCCGCAGTTCCATTTGGCAGAGACTTATTCTCTTGCGCTGGCTCGACAGCACCGTCCTCGATTTCCGAGTCCTCTGCATCACTGCGGTCATCCTTGGCCACGTTGAGCACGACAAAGCGGTAGGCGATGCGGAGGATGAAGAAGAGCCAGAATAGGTTCAGGGCCTGCAGAGAGCTCAGGAGGGCTAGCGTGATCCAGAACGAAAGGTCCGACTTGTAGTGGCCCGTCTCCCAGTTGAGGTAGTAGGGACCAACCGTCTGAAACTCGGTGAAGAGACTGAAGAGGATCTTCAGGTTGAGATAGTGCCGCAGGTAGATCCAGACACACATAAAGGTGAAGTAGTAGGGCCCCATAATCCAGTGGTCAAGATAGTTGAGCGTCTTGGAGGTCTAGAGCATTGTTTGTCAGCCGATTTCGCTCGTCTAAAAGCGAGAGGAGGGGACACGCACAGCCAGGAAGAAGTCACTGATATCATGGGTGATGTAAACAGCGAGACCCATATAGGTGAAGTGGAAGCGGTAGCTCAGGCCAATCAGAGCCAAGCTGACAATATGGTGGCCAACCAGCTCCTTGAAGTCCTTGCGGCGCTTCTCCATGCCGAGCAGCAGCACAATAGCTTGCTGGGCCCAGTACGCGGCCTGGAATAAGTAGTAGAACTTGAAGACGGCGTCGTGGGTCCTGTGGGGGGAATTCTCATACATGCCGTGCGTGTTGAAGTACCATACGGGCGTCCTACTCATGACGTATACACCCACGGGTCCGAGGATGCCAAAGTACAGGGCCGTGTACATCTGCTCCATGTAGCGCGCCTGCTTGCCGCGCGAGCGCAGGCCAGCCCAGCGGGCCATCGGGCGCAAGACCTCCTGCATGACGAACTCGCGCGTGAACGACAGCACCACGGTATAAAAGGTCACAAAAGCAATATCCCACAGCCCCTTGCCGTACTGCGGCACCTCGTCGGGGCTCGATACGGGCAGCTTGTACGACAGGAAAATGAAGCGCTGGACCGGGTTGTTCTCAGTCGGGTTGAGAGCGTAGAGGGACAGGAACACCAGCAGGATCACCAAGGGCAGCACCCAGGTGTGCTTGACAGCGAAGTGCTTGGCGCGGCGGAGGGCGGATCGGGCCTTGCGCCGCTTCGAGAAGCGCTTGCCTGGCGTCGAGTCCTGTGCCTAGCAAAGAGTTGCAGTCAGCATACACGTCCGAGTAACTTGCGTCGTATGCATTCGCTTCCCCGGCAGCCGTACCTTTGTTGCTGAGGTCCCGTGTAAATGCGCGTAGCTTGTGGACAGGGCCGGTGCGCCTGTGTCGCCGACGCGCAGGGCATCGCCCAAGCCGCTGGATTTCCTTCGCCTCCGGGCTGCGGCATTGGCATCGCTTGCAGCGGCCGAGTGCAATTGGTGATCGGCGGTGCTGAGCAGCGGGAAAGGCTCTGGTGCTGTCGAAGCCATGGCTATGCGATGGTTTGTAGATCTAGGGCTCGCGGAGAAGTGCAGCAGGAATAGCGGAAGGCTAGGTCTGAACGGCGAGCGCTGTTGTAAGCGCAAGAAATCTCGAACTACAAGTCCGTGATTCTCTGCTTCAGTCCTAGAGACGTGACGGCAGGAGAAAAGTTTTGGCTCGGTACCACGAGTGCAAAGGCCAAGTTGGATCGTGGCCGTGGTTGGGGAAGAAGTCAGCCAATTGGTAAATCAAACCTCAACGGTGCCCGCGGACTTAGTGTCTAATTTCCCAGGGGTGCCCTCTGCCATGGGTTCAGCTGGACCCCTGCTTTTTTTTCTCCTTCCATTCCCTGTGCCGGTAATTCTTGAGACCGCCAGGGGTGCCAGGTATCGATCCGCTACTCCTTTTCGCTTCTCCAGTTGCTTGCCAGGTGCCGTGCCACTGAAGCTTCCCTGGTCGTCGGACTTGATGTTCGTCGCTTGGCTGCTCGTCACTTGGGCCTTTGGGAGCATTACCTCAGCAAAGAGGGAGTTAGCATGTAAGCACATAAGCACGCGAGCGGCAATCCCGCGCGCTCCGTCCAGTCCATCGGCTCGCCAGCCCTTTGGCTTGGCCTGTGGTGTCTTCAAAGAGTAGCTTTACACAGGTCACCTAGATCAGCGTCTAGCAGTTGGAGTCAATCGACCGAGAAACCACAATACATAAAGCAGCATCATCAGGTTTACCATGTAACGTGTATATCAAAGGTACCCGTATCCACGCCTCGCCCACATCTTTGACTCTGCAAATCTGCAGAACCATCAACCATATGATCCTCACCAATTCCTGGACTATCCGCCCATGCCTCCAAAACAAACAGCAATACACCTGCCAATCAAGCAACAGCTCGACCACAGCATTAAAAGACATAACATAAGGGGTATCTTCCCCTTCAGACCACCTGCTGTGATGTGTCCTGTTTGCCCACCTAGCCAAAAAGCCTGCCACCCATCCGCCCCTTTTCTGTGCGGCCTCCATCAGGACCCAGCACCCGAGGTATCCGCATCCCATGAAAATGCACCCAACAATGCCCCAAAGTCAATCCGTTCCCAGCAGACCAGCCACACAAGCTTATAAGATTCTAGCATCCCATATTGCTTCGCTTGTTCGCTCCTATAAATTTGATGAAAATGCTTCAGAAACACATCAACTACGCTCGGCTGGAGAAGAAAACACGAGAGAAACAACGATCGATCAAGCCTGATGCTGATGCTGCAGGGCAAAGCTCTCATCCGACGTCAGCCTTCCCAGCACGGCCTGCGACTGCCTACTCGCGTTCGGCTCAGGCTCCGAAATCACAATGACAGATGGCGTTCTACGCCGCCCCGGTGCCGTGTAGGAACCTGTGCCATTGATAGCTCGGTGCACCGGTGATGTTGGGGAGGTCGGTAGCGACTCCTCTCCGGTAGGCAATGTTCTTGACCCGCTGCTGTTTCGGCGGCCATGGTCCGGGCGAGATGAGCTCCGATGAGATCCCAGCTCTTCTTCTTCCAAAAGCCGCGCGAGCGCAGCCCCCCTGCGAGGCGGCGCAGGGATGACCGTCACAGGGAGGCTATCGGTATCGGGAGTCGGCCGTATCTTTTCACGAAACTTTTCTGCCTGCGCCACGGCGAACTCCTCTAGCCGCATGCGGATATCCCACTTGCTGCTGTCCTCCTGCGCGGCAATCTCGCTGATCGGCACTTTCTCCTCTAGTATAACGCGCTCCTCGTCCACATGACGAGTGTGCCGGGACAAGAGGCCCTGCGCGAGCGCACGCCATCTGCTTCCTGATAGTGCTATGTCCCGGGACGTCTCGATTTCCCGAGCTGTCTGGGTCGTCTGGGCAGGTTGAGCCGGTGCTTCCGGCCCTGTGCTTGTGCTGCCATCGTCACTATGATGACTTGATGCGGAACTGCCGCGCCTAGACATTGGCCTATTATCCGTAAGGGGAGGTGGAGGTGTAGTCCGTGACGTTGTCTCCGTCAACGGATGATACCTAATGGCATAGATGGTGCTTGCGGCGCTGGCAGTGTCCGTACGGCTGACTGGCGTTACTGCCGGTGCTGGACGGGCTGGCCATAATGGCGGCTGCAAAAATCGTATCCTGTCGTTGTTGGTCGACTGTGTATTTGCTGGCTCGCCCGGTTTCTCGGTCCTTCTTGACCTTGAGTCAGACCTATATCTCGAAGTGATCGAGGTGACAGTGGGCCAGATGTTGC